GCCCCCCCCCCCCCCCCCCTGCCAATCCACTGGCTCCCACTTGCCGAATTAATAAAATTCAAAATACTAACAATACCATACCTGAACAATCTGATTGAATGCAAGCATTGTTCAGGTATTTTGAGAGCCAGCAGGGCTGACTAGCATGATACTGAAGCTTTGCCCAGTGGGAGATTCCTCCATCCACACAGTTTAGGGTAGATGGAGGAATATGTTGCACTTTTTTCCATCTGACCATAGGCTGATAGAAAAAAATCTATAGAATATCCATAAGTGTATGGCCAGCTTAAGATTCTACAATCATGTTATGCTACTGCCTACTGTTTCCCTTGACCATAGAATTTTAGCCCTCCTTTTGCAGCGATCTGTCCTTCTCCCTGCAGTGTGGAAGGGCTGGCAGCTTTAGGCCATGGGGTTTCCCCCTGCAGTTATGCCTCCAGTGGCCTTGTCTCCTTGTATTCTGATGTAGTCAGCAATCATGTGATTGCTTGAACCTAATACTCCAATTTAAATGGTGTCTAGATAAAACCTACCTGAATAAAATAAAAAATCATCAGTAATATCCTACTGGATGTATAATACCAATATAAATATTACATGTGTAAACAAAGAGAATTAGTGATATGCAAATATAAACAAGTGCTCCTGCATTTGTGCAAATGACCATCTGTGGTAACCAATAGAAACCAATGCAATTTATTGCAATTGTGCAAGTATCCATCTAAGATAATTAAATTCATAATATTGTGCAAATATTCAACTGTGGCACCCAGTAGCAAACCAAGATTTGTGTGCCAAACGCTACTATTCTTCCAGGTGTCAAAGATGTGCATGCCAACGTCACTGGGTAAAATCCCCAAAATATGTTGACCTTATACTGATAATTTTCAGTGCTATTCATAGCACTAACTTATATGCCCGATTTCCTCCTTCTCCCATGGTCTCTCTGGAAGCTAGGAGCATGCTGCTAAGCTCAATTACATTATTGACTCCACCCTACACATTTTGACAAATCTGAAAATGGCGCAGCATGTAGGGAAAAGTCAGTGTTCATATTAGCATTAGGACAATGGACATAGAGGTGACTTTGGGACATTTGTTCTTACACTTCAGCATAAGATGTGTTAAAAATGACACATCAAAAAACAGTGCAGAGTTCTGTGGACTGGCCGTGGGGATAACAGTGTCAAAATAACTCCTCCAACTCTTCAAGACCAAATGGCTGGACTATGGTGAAATTAGCAGAAAAGGAAAAGGGTGCATTAGCAGCACTTGTAGGCAAGTGGTTGCTCTGTGCCCTTGAGGAGGAAGAGGAGAAAAAAAGGTACATTAGCCTAGTTTATTATTGTTGACTATAAATGGATGAGAGGAAAATTTTGATGGCATCTCCGTCTTAGTCCGTGGGGTTCAATATTGAGTTGGCCCACCCTTTGCAGCTATAACAGCTTCAACTCTTCTGGAAAGGCTGTCCACAAGGTTTAGGATTGTGTCTATGGGAATGTTTGACCATTCTTCGGGAAGCGCATTTGTGAGGTCAGGTACTGATGTTGGACAAGAAGGCCTGGCTCGCAGTCTCCGCTCTAATTCATCCCAAAGGTGTTCTATCGGGTTGAGGTCAGGACTCTGTGCAGGCCAGTCAAATTCCTCCACCCCAAACTCGCTCATCCATGTCTTTATGGACCTTGCTTTGTGCACTGGTGCGCAGTCATGTTTGAACAGGAAGGGGCCATCCCCAAACTGTTACCACAAAGTTGGGAGCATGAAATTGTCCAAAATGTCATGGTATGCTGATGCCTTAAGAGTTCCCTTCATTGGAACTATAGTTCCCTTCACTGGCAATATAGTGTGTATGGAATCCTTGGACAAGGGAAATGCTTATGGGGCAAAGGTACCCAGGTAAATTTTTTCAACTAGGTTGACAAGGTTGTTCCCCTTCTATATCTACTACTTTTCTTGCTTGTTTCATGGCATGTAATGAGATCAAAAGCCCCTTCCTGAACTGTAAGGAAGAATATGTGTAAAATCTAGCATGAGCAGACTATGACTTTTAAACAGCTAGTTAATAAACCTAAAGCTACCAAAACTGTGTGTTTTTTTTTTTTTTTTAAATGATCACTTACCTAGCAATTCATAGAAGAGGTTCAGTATTTCTTTCCATGCTGGCCCAGTTTTTTCCCCAATAATTTCAGCAAAGTGTGCCGCACTGCTGTACACATTTAGGCGATCAATACAATTTAGTACCAGAGCCAGCATTCCCTAATAGAGGAAGCAGAAATGTCAACTGCTGGAACAACAAATAGATTAATCAAATAATAATTGCATTCTGTGCAGTAGAAAGGATCAATAGGAGGGCCTTTAGCTTTCTGCTAATTACTGGAATTGTAATTATACCACTTTTAATCATCATCTATGCTCACCATGGTCCACAGCATGGCATAAAAAATGTTCTATGAGACACATATTTAAAAAGACTGCTAAACAATGTTTGCATCTAAAAAGGATTAACTATCTATAGGGTAACCATGCATCTAACATTTAGGCATAAGAAAGATTGCAGACAAAAAATATGAATTATACATGACCACACCTCTTCCTTTAGGATAAAACATGCTTTACTCCTGTGATGTGACACATGGCTGCTCTCCCTTTGGGAAAGTATTTAAAAAGTTGGTTATATTTAGCAACTTCAGTAGCCTGGTTTCATGTTAAAACAATATTTTGCTTCTTGATCAAAGTACACAGTAATCTATCATACTGCATTAAATTTAGAATTCCTGTACTCATATTTATCAAACATACTGCAGGGATGCCGGGACAATCGTGCACACCTTTGTGTGCTACAGCTATTCCTGGACTTTCTGGATCAGTTTTCTTGATGTTTTAACCAGTTGACATCCGCGGTGTTAAATGCAGTGCTTTCCTGCCCCTTCCCTCCCCACCCTTTTTTCCTTATTATGTGACCCCACTATGGGGTCTGGATATTACATTTTGTAAGGATTAATGGTAATAATTGAGTTTCAGGTAGAGTATTTAGGAAATGATATGCTGTTAATGTTCCTTTTAATCTTATTGTAATCAAGTATTTACATAATTAGATACCTAAATGTACGTGAAAGATGATGTAATAACCTCGTTTTGTTTTAATGAATAATAATAAATAATTTAATTGAAAAAAAAATATAGGGGGAAACAATCCTCCTATATAATAGCAAAGGCACACTGACAGGTCCTCTTTATGGACACTGACAGGTCCTCTAATGTCACCTGTGGACCCCAAAAGAAGCTGATGAAGCAGAAATCTGCTTCATCAGCTTCTCCTCTCTGGCTATAGCAGTCAGATGACTGACAGGTGAATGCGGAAGTGATGTAATACACATCACTTCTGCATTCACAGCCCGGACGGAGATCAGCAAGGAGCTGATCTCCCGTCCTCCTCCTCCTGACGCCCTCCGAGCCGGTCCCGGGATTCCCCGGGACCCCGGACGCAAACGAGCACATATAGACGATTGGCGGGCTATGGAGACGCTGATCGCCTATATGTGAAACACCCGCTAACGGGTGTGTGCAATGGTCGGGTCTTTTCTGCCCGTGCGTGCCCGCTAGGGGGCGCGCGCGAGCAGAAAAAAAATGCCGTCTGGAGACGGCAACCCGCCAATGCTGCAGTGCCGTCCGTCCGTTTTTTTACAACGGGCGGACGGCAAGAGGTTAAATTAACCTGTTTTACTTTAAGTTCTCTTGGTTATTCAGACTATAAAAATGTAAAATAGTTATAAAAACATTTGATTATTTCTACAACTAGTATGTATGCAGTGGCATCACAAGGGGGTGCAGGGTGTGTGGCCCACACCCGGGTGACACCATTGGAGGGGTGACAACAACATGACTGACAGTCATTTTGGTGTCACCCCCCTCTGAAAAGTCGGGCATCGACCGAACGCCCGACAGTATCAGGAGAGAGGAGGGGACCCGGCGGCATACCTTATCTTGCCGGGTGACTGTCTCCTCCTGTCTCTGCCGGAGTCCATCACCAAGACGGCCGCCGGCAGGTATCAAAAGGTCGCCGCACGTGTGCGATGACGTTGTCGCGCAAGCACGCGGTGACGTCTCATTGGGGTGACATCCGGTAACCGCTCCGGGTGTCATATATATAAAAGGTCCCAGAGAAATGGACCTGGGAGAGAAGTTCTCTTTCAGGTCCGCTCCTGCTGATTGACAGAAGGTAGTGGGCGGAGCAATAGCCATTCTGTTTATTGGCAATTGCCATTTAAAATAGCCAATAACAGAATGGCTATTGCAGAAGAGCGGACCTGAGAGAGAAAGTTCTCTCTCAGGTCCGCTCCTCTGTGACTGACATCAGGCAGTGGGCGGAGCATTAGCCAGCCTGCTATTGGGCATTTCAATTTTCAATAGCCTATAGCAGGCTTTGTTTATTTCTGCCCACTGCCAGATGTACACATTGCATCAGGGAGTGTTTGTTTGTTTTTTCCAATTGTGGGCTGACGTTGGAATTACTTAGTGTGACATTTTTTTAAATGTATTTTGAATAAAGGAATTGTCAAAAATGTGTTATTGTCAAAAATGTGTTTATTTTCATTTCATTTAACCCTTTAGTGAACAGACCCCCGCAACAACCGGGTCAGGGTTGTGGGGAAGAAGCACTTCTCCCTATCGACATGGGGACAAGGTGCTTTGCAGGGGTCCCCCTGGAAATGCACACTCCCGATGCCAAGAGCATGTTGCCTGGTATGGTGTGGGGAGAGGGGGGCTCGCCCCCCTTTCCTGCTCTGCCAGGCTGCTGCCCGGATTAGGGGTCTGGTATGAGACTTCAGGGGGACCCCTTTTTTTTTGAAAGAGGAAAGTCTGGTAGGAATGTTATGGGGAATCCCTGATGTAAATCTGCATCTGGCTATCCTCTTTCATAAAAAAAAAGGGGTCCCTCTGAAGTCTCATACCAGACCCCTAATCCGGGCAGCAGCCTGGCAGAGCAGGAAATCAGAGCAGGGTCTGGTATGAATTTGGGGGGAACCCACACTGTTTTTTTTGTTGTGGTTTCAGAAATGAAAAAGAAACAAAGTAAACATATAATATCACTTTTCTGCAATAAAACCCGAAAAAAACTAAATAAAGAAACATCCGAAACAAAACTAAACAATTGTTTTGCTGGCTTACATGTCTAGTTATCAAATACAAGATTTCCATACTGCTTAATGGTACTTTATATATTACCTCTTCTTTGAAAAGGTTCTGCCTGTTTTTCAGTGAACGGAGTTTATTCTGTTTATCTTCATGTTCTAGATCTTCCTCTGGAGGCTGGAAATAAGCAATCAAGTCTTGCAGGGTTTGAACTACCTCCTCAATAGGCAGGGCGATGGGGGCTGTTACTGTCCGATTGTTCCCCGTTAGAGAATCCAAATCACTAAATAAAAGAATACAATACACTGGTAGTTTTCTCAATGTTTCCTTAACAAGATGGAGTGAAATAACAGAAAAACCCTGACAATGCAGTATACAAAACTTTACTAAATTCCCCCATCTCTGAAACCAATCTGTATTAAGTTCTGAGTGGAAAAAAAGGGTAAAAATCTTTAATTATTTGTAACCTACAAAATGCATGCATTGCTTCATGAAGCAGCTTTTTACAGAAATGACTACACCGGCTCCACAGTTTAAACCAGATAAATGTGAAAGGCAAAAAAGAGGCTGACATTATTTTAGTTGCATCAAAATCACATTCACTGATTCACAGGAAAATCTGGGAATTTTCCTTAAAACACTGTCAAACCCTGTCTGGAAAAAACATGCATGCATGAGAGTTGTGTTATCCCAACCCAGCCAATCAGGATGACAAAAGACTCCTGGACCCAGAAGAAGCCAGAGAGAAGATGGAAGCACCAGCGACAGAGCTACAAGGGAGATAGCAGATGTCACAGAGTAAGTGTGCCATAATGTGCAAATATGCTCTGCATACTTGCACATTATGGCAAAAGGCCGATAACTTTGTTTCCCCTTTAAGATGCTACAAGTAGACATAAGAGCAAGGCAGCGTGCTAAGTTGATAAATATAGACACTGCTGAGTAATTCATACCTAATAAATTGACTGAAGAGGCCTGTGGTGTTACGAATGATTCTAGCAGCCTGGGACTCTTCATGCTGACACTTCTGTAAAGTGACGCCATCATCCATATGACCTTCCTGGTGCAGAATTGCCTGTTCAGATTTAAACAGATATACAGTAGGTCAGTTCAGGTGTAATTTTTGGAATCTCCTGCTTTCTTTAGAGAACTCTTTGAATTCAATTTTATATAGATTCATAACTTCAAACTTTACATTTTGCCTGATTTTTCATGCTATCCCATCAATTAAAGTATATCTAAAGCCAATTATTTTAATTTTTTACTTCAGATATAGTATGGTTACAATTACTGACAAGTTTTTTTCTCATCTGCGCCCTAAAGAAGGAAATTTCCTTTTTACTTCCTGCCCCACACATACAAAAAAAAGTGGGACAAAATATCTCCAAATTGAGGGATATCCAATGGAAGATTTCTCCTGTATTCCCGTGACCACACTCATAAGAGCCAACAGCAGTTCACACTGAGTGAATACCGGACCCTTTAGGTTAAAGATAAAAAAAAAAGTGGGAGTGAGATTCCTTTCAAAAGTCATACCAGGCCCTTCAGGTCTGTTAGGAATTTTAAGGGGAACCCCCCCCCAAACGGGAACAATATAACATGGGGTCCCCCCTAATATCCCATACCAGACCCTTAATCCGAGCACTGGCCTGGCAGGGCAGGAAAGGGGGGGGGGGGGGACAAGCAAGTGCCCCCAAACCCTGGGACAAGCAAGTGTCCCCCCTGCAAAGGCACCTTTTTTCCCATGCACATGGGGTTAAGGGCCTCTTCCCTACAACTCTGACCCGGTGGTTGTGGGGGTCTGCGGGTAGGGGGGATTGTTTGCACAGGGTTACCCCTTTCAGAAAAAGAACACCCATATGCTGCCCCCCTTTTGTGAATGAGGAGTGGGGGAATTTATACTCCTACTCATTGATTAAAGGCTTAAATCGAAATGTAAATAAAGAGACCAGACTTTTAGAAAAACTACTTTAATTGAATTGAAAAAAACCACAACTGAAGTTTTTGGCTATTTCTTTAAAAAAAAAAAAAATCATACGAAGTAATCCAGTGTCAGTCACAATGTCCAGGACAATGCCCACTCGACGATAAAAAATAAATAAATCCTAAAGCTAGCTGTCCCGACCGCATGTGACGAACTCCTGCCGCAAATTTAAATTCTGACAAATGGAGGCCGAATGTAAACAAATGGGAGGAGTCAACTGTGACGTCATGTCTGGCTCCGCCCATTTGTTGTCATGCAATGACAGACTACTGTCCTCAGGTCAGTGGCCTGTCATTGTATGACAACAAATTGTATGACAAGTCATTTGGGGACAGTGGCCTGTCGTATGACAAAAAATAGGCGGAGCCAGACATGACGTCACGGTTGACTCCTCCATTTGTTTACATTCGGTCATCACCTGTAAGAATTTAATTTTTTGGTGGGAGTTCGTCGCGTGCGGTTAAGAAGCCAGAGAGAAGATGGAAGCACCAGCGACAGAGCTACAAGGGAGACTCCCACGCCCACCGGGTCAGGTTAGTGGGGAAGAGGCCCTTATCTCCATTGGTATGGGGACAAAGCACTTTTCCATGGGGAACCGCTGGAAAAGCACCCTCCGAATGCAGAGGGAATGTAGCCTGGTATGGTGAAGGGAGGAGGGTCACTCGCTCATCCCCCCTCCACTTTTTTGCTCTGCCAGGCTGCTGCCTGGATTAGGGGTCTGGTATGGGATTTTAGGGGGCACCCTCTTTTTATTTTTACTTTTTTTGGTGTTGGGGTTCCCCCTTAAAATACCTACCAGACCTTTTAGACCACACACTGTTTTTTTTTTGTTATTTTTTTCTGCCCTGCCAGTGCTCGGATTAATGGTCTGGTTAGGAATTTTAATTTGAGGGGGTCCCTCCTATCATTACAACCGGACCTAAAGGGTATGGTATGGTATGGTTTGGTAGGAGGACCTCGCGTTGTTTTTTTTTCACTGTCCGTTTACATTTACGAAGAGAACCTTCTGCTCCTGCAGTGTCTTCGGCTGAGCCGAGCGGAATACATATGCTTCAGCTCGGCTGAGTGCTTTGGCTGCTGTATGGGCTATTTTGAATAGCCCATATAGCAGCCCTTCGGTTCGGCTGAACCAAAGTGCTCCGGCGGCCGAAGTAAGGTGAAGGATTAGCTGAAGCCTCTGACAATCTACAAGGTATATGGAGACACCGCTAGACTTAGATAATCAGGGAATGGTGGTGTGAAAGGTTTAAAACCTGACCTAATAAAAGATGTGTTCTTCTAATAAACCAGATGTGTCTAAACTGCACTGTCTTTAGTTCTAAACATGAATATGAAAAATATAATAAGGTGCAGGAGAAGCATGACCACTTGACAAATACTTTTTTATTTTTTAGGGATGCACCGAAATATATTGGCCGCCGAAAAAATATTGGCCGAAAATGGCACTTTTGGCTAAAAGCCGAAAATGCTATTTTCTGGCCGATACAGCGGTGCATCCTTTTTCTCCTCCCAGCAGGGCGCTGCTCTGTGTCCCAGCGGGGAGAAGAGAAACTGTCACAGGTGGCCGAATGCTTCTGGTGGAGAGCGCTGTGGGCGGCTGGTGTCTCTCCTCCACGCTCCGCTCAGTCTCCTGTCACAGATCAGAGGAGAGCAATGTGGGCGGAGACAGCCAGCTCTGTCACAGCAGGCTGAGCTCTGCTCAGGATGGAGAACGAGGTACAAACACTCAGCGATCGCTGAGTGTTTGTAAATAATTGAGGACAGAGTATGTTGACTATATCTACATTACCTCCTGTTCATTCATAATTGTGGATATAGTAAACACACTATGTTCTCATGTTATGAATGAACAGGAACACTCATAGAGGATTCCTGTTCATTTATAACTGGGGATACAGAAAAAGAGATTGAGGACTCTGTGTTACAAATCTCTTTTTCTATTTTAAAAGGGAACCCTAATATTTCCCTACCTATAATTTTTTTTTGAAAAAGTTAAAATAAAAAAAACATTTTTGTTTTCTGCCTGACATTTTTTTAATTTCGGTTTCGTTTTGAAATTTTTATTTCAGTGCACCTCTAATTTTTTTTTACTCCACTTACATAGGATATGTGCATGTAAGTATTAAGCCTTTGGGATCACTTTGACACAATTAGCCAACTTGCACATGTAATGCAATATAGGCAAACCAAGAATCCCTGTTCCTATGCAAACATTCTCTGGAAGTGTGAAAGGCTGCCCAGTAGCGTGTAGGGCATTAACTGAGATTATTAGATGAGAATGGTATACCTTAAAAGAGAGCGCAGACTGCCACCTAGCAAAAAAAAAACTTAATTTGTACATAGCTAAGGATGTCTTTTTTTGATATTTCACACACATCCAAAACCAGATAGGCTGGGAGCTGTTCATTTACTTAACATTATCTCCTGTATTTTCCTTTAATAAAGGGTTTCCTTTATTTTCATTTTAAAGTACTCAGATGTAATTTGTTTTCTTACTCTTCTTTTAAGTGGTCCCAGTCTTGCTGTTTTGGCATCTTGGGCTTTGTAGGTGAGCCACAAGCCACTGTCTACATGCTGGATAAAGCAAATGGAATCTCCATATTTAATTTCTGCTACTCCCATTCCATCTATGTCTCGCTTTGGCCCAGAGTCCAGTTTTTCCTAAATCAAAAAGAAGAGTGTCAGTTGGGTGTACAAAATTGTCTGTTACACTGAAGGAAGTGCAATTAGCATTTTTAAGCATTATTATTTATGACACAAACTATGCTAATTTTTACCTGTTAATTAGCATGCCAGCTATTCCTGACTATTCCCTGTGTTCACAAACTCCTAATCTTTACCTAGAGTGCTACATAACCATTCTATTTGTCTGACTTTTTGTGCTTTTGAAGTTATTATAGCTCCAGAAACAATCACACTGCATACAGTGGTCTTATGGGTTGCCATCAAAGCATTCTGTTAATACGGTCCAACAAAGGTGACCTGTATAGGAGCATGTAAATTATAGGGAGTTAAATTGTATAAAATACTCTTTTACTATGTTTCATTTGAAAAAGGGGCCAGCTGTGTATCAACAAATCTGAGATACTGAGGTAACCAGAAAGGAACAAAATTAAAAAGCACATCACTATTAAATCATGTAGATCATTATGGTGAGAATCTGTTAAAGAGGCAGTCAAACATGACACATATGACATGATGTCATACTTTCACTAAACTTTTGATTCTGATGTAGCTCTGAAAAGTATAACAAGCAAAACCTTAACCTTCATTAAATAATTGTTTATAGATATAGAATATTTTTTCAGACAATGTTATCTTCACTAGCAAGAACAAGTCAAATGTTTAAATTTAATTTTAAAAATTTTGCAACTATTTTTAAAAGATTAAATTTAACACCAAAAGACCAGCACCAGTGGTCTCTTTGTATGCAACTCTCTCTAACCTCATACACAGAAAAACTCTTCCCACTAAAGAGGGCACCACAATTCTTTTGGCTGTTACCACTGTAATGCTTATGTAGATTTAATTCTATCGGGTCACTGCTTTAAGAAAATATATAATTTTAGAGGGGGTTATGTAATCAACAGGCCTAAAATATGCATTTTAATTGTGTGAAAAAGTTGCAAACATGGTTCTGGCAGGAAAAGATTTAGAAACAATGTTTGTAGACCTTCCCACAACATCCAAGACCTTTTTCCCTAACAACCTCATTTAGTATAACCCAGAGCTTGAATCATTTTTAAATGTTCCACACAGTCCCCATTCGGCTACATTTATTATATTCCCATATATATCCCAATATATATATTTTAAATCCTTCTTTGTGCTGAAGGGAGAACTGTAGATAAATGACAACTGCAGGCCCAGATTTGGCTGCATGATGTAGCTTTTCATTCCTCCCCCATTGGAACTTATGCTGCTTTAACCTCAGAATTGACAGTTGGTTTCCAGATTTGATGGCATCCTTGGTCGTAGAAAACCTTCCAGATTGTATTGACTTAGAGAACAGTGGGACAGGGATATTCCTGACTCAACTTAACACAATTAGGAAGGATTCTCTGATTCCTGATTTAGTACAGTAATTTTTGCATTAAACAAATTATGTTGCTTTCATAGAGCTTTTTTCGCGCCTGGCTGACTATTTAAAATGGGTAGCCATGACTCACCAACCTGTCACAAATGTCAAGAAGGGAAGGAGGATATTCTTCATATGTTCTAGGGCTTTATAACAATTAGACCTCTTAGAAAACAAGTCACTGCTTTTACCTCTGACAATTTTGTTATCCCCAATGTATGTAAACCTGCATCACGTATACTGGGTATCTTTGGTGGGTTAAATTTAGAAGCAGAAAAAATGTTTTTATGTGAGAAAAACTATAGTCCTGCATCTACTAAGGTCTTACATCTCAACGCTTGGAAAAGGTCAGTTAATAAAGTCCTACCTATTTACAGGTTAACCTATGAGTCCTGAGGCTGACCTGCTAAATTTGACAAACTTTGGGGAGATTAGGTTTCATGCCCACACTCTTGTGAACACCAGCTCTCTGACTAATGTTTACAGTATATGCTAGATGACCTGGTCTTGATAGGTTTATAAGTATTTATGTCATGACTGCTCCTTGTATAAAAATGACACTCACAGCTATGATAACGTACTCTGTCATTACTAAAAGTTTTTGACACATATAATGGCTGAAACCAAAAGAACTGTTACTTGCTTTTTATTGTTAATTGTTATGTTCTTCTTTGAAGCAACAAAACATACATTCTATCTTCAATGGCAACACTGTTACATGTGCATTGGTACTTAATTTACTGCCTTGTATACAATGATTTTTTATAACAGGTATCCGTGTACCTCAATTTTGTAAATAAAATTATATATATATAGGGATGTCCTGATACCACTTTTTCATGACAAAGTACAAGTACAAGTACTTCCCCTCATGTAGTTGCCGATATCAATTACCGATACTTTTTTTTAAAGGGACAGGTGACTTTAAATGATCCATAGTACAACTACATGTTATGTACTATGGGTCATAATTTAACCTATTCATGTTAGCAGGGGAGAATTATAAATCTATTTCTGTAATGTAGTGGAGGTGTGTGCTGTATATATGTACTACATATATATTACACACGTCCAGTACAATATATCAACTTTCACGGAACACCTGAATTCAATGATTTGGAGGGGTGTCCAAATACTTTTGGCAATGTAGTGTGTGTGTGTATATAGATATATAGATATCTATATATATATACACAGGTATTCCTCACTTAACGACCGAGTTCCGTTCCTACGACCAGGTCGTTAAACAAATTGGTCGTTAAGTGAGGAACTCTATACAGTACTGTACTGCATTAGTACAGTACTGTATAGCGTTGCCGATGTACAGTACCGAACAGTGTACTGTACATCGGGCAATGAAAATACTCACAGGGACCCGCAGTGAAGAACGGAGGACGTCACTTCCCCCGGCGACACGTCGCACTGGCGCGCGAGGTCGGACGTCGCTCGGAGGACGGTCGTAAGTGCGAGTGGTCGCAAAACAGGTAAGTCGTTAAGCGAGGAGTATCTGTATGCACATTTACAACATGTCTATACGTCAAGATTCCTATTTAAAATAACTAATCTCTTTCTTAATGCATAACATGCTGAAAAAACTCACTTTGGATGCTCTGAAGCAGAAAGCTGATGATTTAGTATCCGACTTTGCTCGGCCTTGTAGCACTAGTCCTTGGTCCTCTGTTAGTGCCAAATATTGCCCAGTTGTAATATGGCGAAGGCGAAATGTCTGCCCCCATCGGATGTGGCTTCCGCTCCAACTGAGGTAATAAAAAATTAAACATTGAGCTCTACTCTTCAAACTATACTATAGGTTAAATAAACAGATTATAAACGTTGTCAAGATTACCTGATTCTGAGAGGTTCCACTCTCCATAACGACCTGGCGCGAACACCTGCTCCACCTGCTTCATAATTTACTTTCCTAATAAAGAAAAATGTTCAGAGAAACAAAATGCAAAATCCATTAACATAAAATGAAGCCTACCCTATTGGCATTGAAAGAAAATATATACAACCCCAATTCCAAAAAAGTTGGGACACTGTGTAAAATCTACATAAAAACAGAATACAATGATCTGCAAATCTCAAAACCCATATTTTATTCACAATAGAAAATAAAAACATTAAATGTTTGAACTGAGAAAATGTACCAATTTAAGAAAAAATATGGTCATTTTGAAATTGATGGCAGCAACATGTCTCAAAAAAGTTGGGACAGGACCACGTTTACCTTGGTGCAGCATCCCCCCTTCTTTTAACAACACTCTGTTTTGGGAGAGAAATATTGTCCCATTTTTGCCTGATATAGGATTCTAACTGCTCAACAGTCCTGGGTCTTCTTTGTCATATTTTTCATTTCAAGATGTGCCAAATATTTTCAATCAGTGAAAGGTCTGAACTGCAGACAGATCAATTAAGCAACCGGACTATTCTACTATGAAGCCACACTGTTGTCATAGATGCAGTATGTGATTTAGCATTGTCCTGCTGAAATAAGCAAGGTCTTCCCTAAAAAAGACGTTGTCTTGATGGGACCATATGCTGCTCTAAAACCTGGATATATCTTTCAGCATTGATGGTGCCTTTCCAGATGTGCAAGCTGTCCATTCCAAAAGCACTAATGCACCCCCGTACCATCAGAGATGCAGGCTTTTGAACTAAGCCCTGATAACAAGCCAGAAGGTCCCTCTCCTCTTTAGTTTGGAGGATGCGGCACACATGGTTGCCAAAAAGAATGTCAAATTTCGATTTGTCTGACCACAGAACAGTTTTCCACTTTGTGATAGACCATTTTAAATGAGCTTTGGCCCAGATGAGATGGCAGCATTTGTGGATCATGTTCAGATATGGATTCCTCTTTGCATGATAGAGCTTTAACTTGCATTATTGGACGGCACAGAGAACTGTGTTAACAGACTTTTTGGAAGTATTCCTAAGCCCATGCAGTGATGTCCATCACAGAATCATGCCTGTTTTTAATGCAGTGCCATCTGAGGGCCTGTAGATCATGGGCATCCAATAATGTGTTTTGACCTTGTCCCTTGCGCACAGAGATTTCTCCAGATTTTTTATCACTCGCCAAATGCGAGCGGGCGAGTGGAAATTTTGAGCCCTGCTGTAGATTATGTATTTAAAGTCTTTGTGATTCTATGTTGAGAAACATTATTCTGAAATTGTTCGACATTTTTTAGACGCAGCTTTTCACCTGTTGGTGAACTTCTGCCCTTCTTTACTTCTGAGACACTCTGACTCTCTAAGATGCTCTTTTTCTACCCAATCCTGTTACTGATCTGTTGCCATTGAACCTAATTAGTTGCAAAATGTACTACAAGTTCTTCCTTGTAAGTACCACTTACTTTGCCAGCTTTTTGTTGTCCTCTTCCAACTTTTTTGAGACGTGTTGCTGCCATCAATTTCAAAACTACCTTATTCTTTTTCTTAAAATGGTCCATTTTCTCAGTTTAAACACTTGATATGTTTTCTGTTTTCCATTGTGAATAAAATATAGGTTTATGAGATTTGTAAATCATTGCATTCTGTTTTTATGTAGATTTTACACTGCGTCCCAACTTTGTTGGAATTGGGGTTGTATTGCAAATTTAACTTTATCTGTTTTTATTTAAAGTGGGTGATGTATAGCAATGGTGGTACGTTTTTATTATAGGTGGTAAATAAAAAACAAAAAAAACAAACAAACATGGTTTAGGGATGTACATGCATGACCTCCTTTAGAGAAGGCATGGTAATTTAACCAACAGCTATGCTCATCTAGCAGTGTATTTACTGGACATCAACTCTCTCAGCACAGTGACAAGTTAGCATATGGAGCAGGCATATGAAGTGTGCTGGAAATCTTAAAATATATCTATTACAGGTATAGGATTGTTTTTACTGCATATCCATCCATTAGGGATGATTTACTAAAGGCAAATGGGCTTGTGGAAAATGTATTTTAGCTAAGAATACCGAATCATGAAAAATCAATATATACTATATAT